GAGATCGAGCCCCGGGTTGGGCTCCACACTCAGTGGCGAGTCTGGGGGAGATTCTCTCCCTCTTCTCCCTCTGCCCCTCCCCCTGGTCGTCCGCATGCTCTCTCCCTAAAAAAAAAAAAAAAATTAAAAAAGAAAAGAAGTGAAGGAGTGGAGAAAAGCCAGGTATGTTATTCCTATACTCTCACTCCTGTGGAAATTTCTGCCCCCCCTAGGGAAATAGGAGGAGTGGGACTAAATGTTCCTCCACAATTGAAAATCGTAAAGAAGGGAAAACAGTGCCCTTTACCTGCACTGATTATCTGCTGCAATTGTCACCTCCACTTGGTGTCTCTGAAGGCACATAATTTTTAGCTGCCAATTTGAATGATGGGGTTCATGGTTAAAGCTGCCTTGGTAATACAGAAAAGCATGCATGTTGCAACTTATGACAAGAACAATAGATTTTCTTGTAAAAGAATGTTTTTGACAGGTAGCTAATCTGTAATTTTGGAAAAGGTATTTACTAAACATGTAAGGGTATCATGCTGTTTAAAAAGTTGGCTATATTTGGAGCCCTTTGTTTCATATGTAAAATGGGATTAATATTAGCTCTTGCCTGGCCGAAGGATTGTGACTTAACGTATGTGAACTGTTTTCTAACTCAGAGCAGTTCATGGGTGTAGGGACTTACTAAGGTAAGCTGCTTCTTTGGTCCCTTCCTGGAAGGTTTCACTTCTGTAACAGAGGGAAGGTCACATTCCCATGGCCTCAAAATAAGGTTTCTGGTGGTCCCCATAAAGATGGCTTTCACCTTTTCTTCTTGCATTTACCCACCTTGCGCCTGTCACTGTGTAGTTGCTTGCACTCTCTCCTGGCTCTTTGCCCCAGACCTAGAACCTGGCTCCCAGACTTCTGTCCCTTTTTCTTTATTCCCTCATGCTTGACATCCTTAATTGCTGTAAGAAATTTACTGTAGTATCTACCCCAGCTTCCATTCCATTGTAATAATTTGTCAGTGGCACCATTGTTTTTAGTGTTTGTTTTGTTTGTTTCTCCTTAGGTAAAATCCTTGAGATTATACTTAACTCTTTACTTGCTTCCTTTTCCTAGAAAATTTATGAGAACTCCTCTAATTTTTTTTATTGAGTATAATTGACATACAATATTATATTGATTTCAGGTGTAAGGTAGTGATTTGAAATTTATATACATTACAAAATGATCACCATAAGAGATCTGGTTACCTTCTGTCACCCTACAAAGTTAATATACATTACATCAAAATTCACAGAAAGACTGACCAAAGGGTTACCACAGTACGGATACCTGCTGGTATTAAACACAGAGGTATTTGGAGAAGTACGAATTTTATAAGAAGTCAGTTTATCAGTAAATATTTTTTATCATGATTATTTTTGCAACTGAGTGGGCTGGGCAGTTGGGTATTTGGTTAAGGAAGACTTTGTCTATTGAATGCCTGCCACAGGGCTCCATCTTTCGTTATATTACCTGTTCTCACTCCAGGATCATGCTTTTAGCAAATAGTTACTGAGTCCAGCTTGATCTTCTGAAATACGAGGTATTGAGGAAAAATTTTTTTGTGAAATGTCTCGAGCGACCCACTTTCTCTGTTGCCAGCTGAGTAGTTTTGTAGATTCTTTGGTTTTTTCCAAACTCCGTGTAGTTTGCCCCAGAGATGTTCTGATGCTGGAGTGATTCTCATCACTTCCTGTATGTCAGGAGTGACTCAAAGGGTACTTCTCTTTTAGGAGCATGTTGCTTTAACAGACAAATATTTCCTTATTTTCTGATCCTCAGCACAAATTGGGGGAAGAAAACAAAGACACTTTCTTTATGGGGCTTGAAACAACTAATACAATCTACACCCTCAGCATCCTGACCTCATCTTTAACCTCAAATTCAGCCGTCAGAATGTGTCTACATAAGCAACATTTATAGCCTCAGAAGCCAAGCAGTTTCTTCTTATTTTTATCTTGGTTCTAGGCCCCAGACTTCTGTGAGTCCTTGGAATATTTACATTTTGTAAAGTTCTGCCAAATAAATTGTGTCTGCTGTGTAGCTCCTTTCTCCCTTCTCTGTCCCTTAAAACTTATTTGTGATGTTTTCCATCATCTCTGTAGTGCCCTCAGCATCGAAAGGATGATGATCTGCTCTCCAAGTGGGCTTATATTTCTCCCCCGTTCTGGGTGTGGGTGTGGGTGCAGGGGCGCTTTGCATCCATCCATAGCTGTGGTATGGCTGTGTATACTGATGGGGGTGTATTGGGCCACGTCTTCATTTTCCTTTTTATCCAGAGTGTCCCTAACATTCAGAACTAATGTGGACCAGTGGGTCTGCCAGTTTGTGGGCCAGAAGTAAATGCTTTACCTTACTTGGTCGTGTATTTCTTTGTACATTGAATTCTGTTTTCACTTAAACATTTCCCCTACTAACTTATGTTCTGAAGATGCCAATTTTTGTTTAATTTTCTTATCTTTCAAGATCTCTTGGAGACTCAAATCCCCTTTTGTGTAAATGGGGCAAATGAGAGTCTGCTGACAATTCTTAGAGCGTCCTCCTGTCCTTTATATGTAGCAGTATCCACGCTGCCCTTACAATAAGGAGGACGGCAAAGAGGCCTGTTCCGGGGCCAGTAATCTGCTAAAAACAATCTGTTTCACAGCGTGACATCATGAAATAGAACGTTTTGTTGTATTTGGAGCCTTCCAAGTACCAATTCTTTTATCTTTTCAGGTAGAATTTATACATTTACTTTGTAGCAAGATAGCAACATTGTATCACTCCAGGTATGTAGAACTAGAATAAAATTTATCAGGGAGTGCAGAAAGCTACAATAGAGGCCTGTTTAGGAGATGCATGGCTGTTAATTGAGAAGTCACTTAAATTTGGGGATAATATAATAAAAGATACATACATGCTGCAAACACTTTGTTTTAACCTACATATAAATTCACTCACCAGTATTTTGATGTAGGGCCCTTCTTTCTGGGAGGGTCCACAGTCTGCCTTGTCTTTCCAGTTTTCATTTCTTTAAGGTGAAGCAAAAGCTTGAAGTTATCTGTGACATCTGAGTGTAGGGTTTTATGTTTTGATGTTTGTATTTCCAAGATTTTATTGTTGAATTATCACATCTGTTACAACAATTCATTATTTTGTTCACTTGTACTGTTTGTCAGCAGCATTCAACCTAATGTATAGAGAAAAAAATCCTATCTTTCCTATGTCAATTTCATTGGTTTACATAATGTATCATTAAATTAAGTAATTGCAAAATAAGTGTGCTTGACTTGTTAAGCATGTAGCTCAGGTGGTGAGAGCAGAAATGCATGAACGTGTTGGACAGTTGCCTGTGATCAGCATACATTTGGGGCTTGAATATACCTTCCAGAAGTAACGGAGTATATCAGTTGGTTAAATAGACGTCTCTTAAAACAGCTTTTATTTCTCTGACTGCATTTTCCCAAGCAATGTGGGAGATACAAAAATATTTCCAGCTTTGATTCCCTCCTCCCCAACTCTGATTTTGGACCTGAATATCCAACTCTCTAAAAGACATTTTCTTTTTTCTACGCCTGAACTCATCTTTCTCCTCAGCCATTTACTACCTACTGCTATTCTCCCCTACAAAACAAAACAAGCTTTTGCTCTTCCTGCGTTTCCTGCTCTGTTTAATTGTCCACCAATGGATCAATTTAGAACCTGGGAAATATTCTTTTTTTTTTTAAGATTTTATTTATGAGAGAGAGAGAAAGAGCGAGAGAGCATGAGCTGGGAGGAGGGGCAGAGGGAGAGGAAGAAACAGACTCCCCGCTGAGCAGGGAGCCCCATGTGGGGCTCGATCCCAGGACCCTGGGACCTGAGCCTAAGGCAGATGCATAACCGACTGAGACACCCAGGTGCCCCAAGAACCTGGGAAATAGTCTTGACATACATTTTTATGATTGTGAATTTTGCTTTCAAGTACTGTTTTAACCAAATCCCCCAAATTTTCTTTTAAGAACAGCTCCTAGTGGCATAATTGTCATGCAGTAAGCTGCACATATTAAAATAGACACTCATGACTTTCAAGATGACGGACGTGTCCATCATCCCCAGAAGTTTCCTTATCTCCTCCTGTTCCTCAGCACCTTAGATCACAAGTATTTTCCAGAGTCTTTTATAGGGGCATGTTACAGGATATGCTCTTTGCTGTATGGCTTCTTTCAGTCAACATAATTACCTGAGATGCATTCAGAGTCTAAGCTTATTTGGTATCTTTTTTGCTGAATAGTATAAGAACTTCAGGACTCTTAAACTCCGTTACTCCCTGATAATTTATATCTCATTATTATTGTGTGTTTGAATTCTCTTAATTTTTTTTAGATACTTCTTTGGCGCTTACAGTCAGTGTTCACTTAGACATACTTACTATTTTCTTTGCTCTTCATTATTTTATGTCACACTTTCCATCTGGGATCATTTTCCTGTTGTATAATACAGCACCCTTTACATTCCCTTTAGTCCAGGTCTGCTGCTGGCCACTCTGTTATTTTTGTCTTCATTTCACCTTCATCCTTCAGGGGTACTTTCACCGGGGACAGAATTCCAGGCTGGTGGTTACTTTCTTTTCGCGCATGAAAGATTTCATTTACTTTCTTCTGGCTCCCAGTATTGCTCTTGTGACCTTTGAAGGTGACCTTTGTTTCTTTCTCTGGCTTCTTTTAAGATTTTTTTTCTTTATCTTTTGTTTTCTGTAGTTTCATTTTGATGTGCCTGATTATCCTGCTTATTCTGATGGGTTTATTTATTCTTGGGATTTTTATGGGGTGTCTTGAACCTGTAGATTTTTTTTTTTCCATCAGTTTTGGAAAACTCAGCCATTATCCCTGTAGATTTTGTCTCTGTTCCATTCTCCATCTGCCTGTTTTCTGTAGACTGTTTTGCTTACTCTCTCTTCTGTGTTTGGTGTATTTACTCTCTCCACTCCAGACGGTTTCTTCTGTCACTAATTCTCTTCTCAGCCACGTCTGATTTGCTGCTAAATCCAGTCATCGATGGCCTCATTTCAGTCATGGTATTTTTCTGTTTTAGAGTATCTGCATGGTTTTTCTTCAGATTTACGATGTCTTTAAGTCATGTCCAGTTCTCTGCTGAGATTTTCAAGCTTGGCGTTTATATCTGTAAACATGATAAGAATCTTTGTTTCTTAGCCTGTATCTTATAGTTGCATATTTGAGGTCCCCGTGGTTTGTTTCCATTCTCCCTGCTAGACTGGCTTTTTCCAGAGCAGGTACTGTGGTTTGTTCTGATTCAGAATGCCTGGGATGAAGGCCGGTTTTCTGTATTTATAGAAAGCTCACAGACAATTATGATATTTATCTAGGATTTTGAGTTAGAAAATGCTGAAAGGCTCAGTCTGTAGAGTATCAACTTCAAAGGCGGTAGGATTTCATAGTAATCTTTCCCAGAATAAGTAGACATGAAATAATGTAGGTGCTGGGGCAGTTGTAATCACCATTCAATTAAATGCTCCAGCGCCGCGCTAGGAACCAAGAAAGTGAAAGTCTCTGCGTGTTGTGTCCAGACCCTTAGATGTTTGCACTGGGACTTGATCCGGCATGGACACATTGGAAGAGTTGGGTTCTAGCTCATCCCTATTGGTAACTCCTAATGGACCGTGGAGAAATCACCTCATTTCTGTGCTTTCTGTTGAAGTTTGAAGTTGGCATATAGTTCTTGAATTTTATTTGTTAAACAGAATTGAGAAGAATTTAATAATGACAGCAGCTACTGTAGGTTCCACTCCCACTGTCAACACTAGTGTTACTATGATCATTACCACCAGCAATGAGGTGGGCTTTTTGTTTGTTTTTTCTTTTCTTTTTTGGTGTATATCTCCTAGGTTGTTTTTTTTTTTTGTAATTGAGATATAATTGACATATAACATTGTACTAGTGTCAGGTGTATAACATAATGACTTGATACATGTCTATATTGCAAAATGATCACCACAGTAAGTCTAGTTAGCATCTGTCCCTACGCATGATTACAACTTTTCCCCCTTATGATGAGAGCTTTTAAGACCTCTCAGCAACTTTCAAATATACACTATACTGTTAGTAAGTACAGTTATCATGCTGTACCTTGCATCCCCAGGATTTATTTGTTTTATAACTGGAGGGTTGCTCACCCATTTCACCTACCCTGCACTCCCTGCCTTTGGCAACCACCAGCCTGTTCTCTGGATCTAGGAGTTTGGTGTTTTCTATTCTTAGATTCCACATATAAGTGAGATCATATGGCATGTCTGTCTCTGTCTGACTTATTTCACTTAGCATGATGCCCTCCAGGTTCATCCATGTTGTTGCAAATGGCAGGATTTCCTTTTTTTTAATGGCTGAATAATACTCTCTTCTGTATAAACACCACGACTTCTTTGTCCGTTCATCTATCAATGGACGCTTAGGTCATTTCCATGTCTTGGCCGTTGTAGATAATGCTGCAGTGAACATGGGGGTGCAGGTATCTTTTTGAGTTAGTGCTTTCATTTCCTTTGGGTAAATACCCAGAAGTGGAATTGCTGGATCATAGGGTACTTCTGTTTTTAGTTTCTTTTGAGGAACCTCCATACTGTTTTCCAGAGTGGCTGCACCAGCTTGCATTCCCACCAACAATGCACGAGGGTTCTCCTTTCTCCACATTTTCAACACTTGTGCCATTCCCTTCCTCCCTCCCTCCCTCCCTCTCTCTCTTTCTTTCTTTCTTTTGATAGTAGCCATTTTAAGAGTGATGAGGTGACACCTCATTATGGTACCTAAGGAAAGTACTATCCTAAATGAGTTTTTCTTTATGAGGAGTAATCTAGGGCCAGAGATACACTCTTAACTATTGACTTTAGCTGTCTCATTTTGGTTATCTGTGTATATGAATCTGTTGATTTATTTTGTTTAAGGAGGAAAGCTCAGAAAATAAATAAATGGAATTTAGGAAGCCTTCTGTCCAAAAATGTAAGGTACATTACCCTGTTCTTTTCACATAAATTGTTTATGATGAATTTATTCATTAATTTATTCATTCAAAAATACTTGTTGAGGGCGCCTGGGTGGCTCAGTCGGTTAAGCGACTGCCTTCGGCTCAGGTCATGATCCTGGAGTCCCAGGATCGAGTCCCATGTCGGGCTCCCCGCTCGGCGGGGAGTCTGCTTCTCCCTCTGACCCTCTCCCCTCTCATGTGCTCTCTCTCTCTCTCATTCTGTCTCAGATAAATAAATAAAATCTTTAAAAAAAAAAACAAAACCAAAAATACTTGTTGAGTATAATCTGCTAGACAGAATCTAGCAAGTAAATAAGGATAAAATCTCAAAAAATGTTTTTTTAAAGCTAAAATGTTTCATTACCTTTGGAGCTTTGTCATATATAAAATAAAACTTAATTTTACTGAAGTGGTTTGTGATTGACTCTTGTTTTTGGAGTCTGATTTTGGATGACGTGGATTTTCACTTCACAGTCCCTACAGAGGAATGAAGCCACAGTGTGATAAATGAAAGCTGAAAGCAGGTGGTCTCAGTGCAGATACATAAGCATGATTATATTATAGGCTTTTTTTTAAAGATTTTATTTATTTGAGAGAGAGACAGAGGGAGCATGAGCAGGGGGAGGGGCAGAGGGAGAAGCAGGCTCCCTGCTGAGCACAGAGCCTGATGTGGGGCTCGATCCCAGGACCCTGAGATCGTGACCTGAGCCGAACGCAGACGCTCAACTGACTGAGCCACCCAGGCGCCCTTGTATTATAGGTGTTTAAGCTAAGCGTTTATAGTATGGGATATTCAGTGGTGGCTAAAGTGTCTCCAATTTAGCATTTTTTCTTTTTCACGCTTATTTTTCTGTTATGCAAGGTCTCCTTTGCTCTCTTTTGTGCCTTTTGCAAATGTGTTTCGACCATTAAATTAAAAAATGCCTCCTCTTGTTTTACATTGAGCTTGAGCTCGGTCAGATAAAACGGTTCAAAATCGTGTATTTGGGGGTGGAGATGTAGAGATGGCAGCTTCTATTCATTCAGCAGCTGAGACCTGGCTCTGAAGGCAGTGTTGTATTCAAAGGTGGGATTTGCTGACATATGCTATAAAGTAGATTTGTTTGTGGTGTTTTCTTTTAAAATTTTAGCCTCATTTTGCTTGCTTCACATGCATAGTACTGCAGACAGGTTCCCAGGTATGTATGCTAAATGCATACATGGTACCTGACCAGCTGGGGAGGTTTTCACACCAGAAACTTCAGATGACGCTCTGCTTCTCGCACCCTCTCTGGCGGCAGCGAGAAGCCATGCGTTTGGGCTATAGTAGCATTTCCCTCCTGCGTGTCCCGGCTGAGGGACCACTTTGCTCTGCCCTAGAGCACCATCTTTATGTTCACATGTGCAAGAGTTTCCCCCTCCTGACAAGACTACGGAGACCTGTCCTTTATAATATTGCTCCTGGCTGCAGAAGGAGGGAGTAGAGTTTGGTTTCTTTCAGTGATTTTCAAATGAGAGGCCCTGGGTCTTGTTCCTGCCATTGTTTCTTTCCTTTGAGTTTCACAAGACTTGGTAATCTTGAGATTCCAGTTTTCAAGACATTTAGCAAATTTCAAGGCTCCTGTTTTTGTTGTTGTTTGGAAACATATCTTGCTAATAGGAGTCAAGGAAGGGAAACAGATTGGTTTCAGTCTTTGATTTTAACTTGCCTCAAGGAATGGAAACTGAGCAGGCTTATATGGGAGGAGATTGAAAGGTCATTGACATCAGCTGCTGGTCTCCAGCGTGTTCCAGACAAAATTCCTATTAGGTCCTCTGCCCCGGCATAATACGGCATGTCAGCAGGCTTCTCTTCCAGCTACTTCTCAGCTAGGCAAAGTAGACGTCTAGGTGTGTCATTTTTTTGTAGAGAGACAGAAAATTGTATTTGGTTTACTAAAAATGTCTTCAGTTCCTTGTCTCCCCCAAGTGGACTAATGATCTGGTGATATGCTGGGATTCTGTATTTGTGATCCAAGGAGAGGATGTAAACAGGCATTTTTGACATACCCGTATTTCTTTGTCAATAGTTTGTAGCTTCAGTCTTGTCCACATGCAATCGTGAGTGTGTCTCCTTCTCTCCTTTCCCGCTTGTCCAAACATGGTAGACATGGCCGTGAGGAAGCCTGTGGAATCACCTGTTTGCTGTTTCCAATAAAAAGCAAATTCTTAGTACCTTTGGGTCCAGTGAGAACATCAGTGCAACTACAGAAGATTTATATTCGGCAGGCTGTGGGAGACACGTGGGCCTCTGTCTCTCCTGCCCCCTTCTCGGCTGTGACGTACTTTCCTCCACCCTTCCGGCATTCGTCATTCTCTGTGAATCACACGTCCTGCTTCACATCGTGTTGTCTCTTGTGTATACGCCCTTTAGGGTTTCAGAAGGCTAACCATCTCAGCCCCTTTCAAACCAGTAAGGGTCCACGTTGAGTTCGTGTTCTTATCCGGAGTGTTCCCAGGAGCAGTGTACTCTCCATCTTCCTGTTTAGCGGACGCGGAGATCTGTTTATTTTATGTACTTTCCTGTCATGAATCTTCTCTTCACTTGAGTGATAGAGTGATGGCTGTGTCTGGGGTTTTCACTCAATTGTACTTTGGGTGCGCAAAGGTTTTGTAAGATCAGAAAGTCTAAGATTTTTTGTTTGCTTGCTTTGAACTGAATATTATCCTTAGTCATGCCCCACAAGCTTGCTGGGACCTTGATCTTTATTGACTCTGCCATCTCGGAAAATAAGGAAAATAGGTAAAACCAAAAAGAGTAATTGGAAAAAAGGTCTTGTGGAACAAAGCTGTCCCATGGCAGAATGATTCAGGAGTTGCAGGGGACCTTATTGATTGTGAATCCTTTGTGAATTTTTTAAAAAGTCTTCTTTTCTCTTTTTTTTTTCCTTTTTTTTTTTTTTTGGTCTTAAGCGTTGTTTAGTTAAGATAAAGATACTTTAAATATGATGATAGTGAGGGATGCCTGGGTGGCTCAGCTGGTTAAGCGTCTGCCTTCAGCTCAGGTCATTGATCCCGGGTCCTGGGATTGAGTCCCGCATCCGGCTCCTTGCTCAGCGGGGAGCCTGCTTCTCCCTCTGTCTCTGCCGCTCCCCCTGCTTGTGCTCTCTCTTTCTCTCTCTCTGACAAATAAATAAAAATCTTTTAAAAAATAAATATAATGATAGGGACAATATTTTATGATGGACTGTTTTAAGAAAAATTTAGTTTTCATCGAAAATATACATTTAATCTTATAAGTAAAAATTACTTTCTTAAACTAAAAAAAAACTGTACTCTCACATTAGATACCTGTGAGGTAATAGAAAACATATATATTGGTCTTTTTCCCCAGTTCCTGGCACAGAACCCCTGAAACACTTGTAAATTTCCTAAGCGATAGGAGTAGTAGGAGCATTTTTTGTTCTTATGCTTGGTCATTCACCTGGGCTCCTGACACAGAGTACCTGAATCCCTGGGAATATCCTGGGGATGGCAGTGTCTTTTGTTCTAACGAGATGACTCTTGGTGGGCTCCTGGATGAGTGCTGGTCACCAGAAAGACCAAGCCGTGCTTAGAAGCTTGGAACTTTCAGTCCTGTCCCTATTCTCCAGATGGGATTGGGGCTGGAAATGGAGGTAATGATTGATCATGCCTATGTGATGAGGCCTCCATAAGAATCCCAATAGTATGGAGTTCAGAGAGCTTCCAGGTTGATGAACGAACATGTGGCAGTCCTAGGAGAGGGACGCACCCACAGAGGTCAGGGACGCTCTGCGCCCCTTCTCACATCCCTGCCATATGCATCTCTTCCATCTGGATGTTCGTCTGTATCCTCTATCATATCATTTTATAATAAACTGGTCAACAGTGAGTAAACTGTTTTCCTGAGTTCTGTGAGCGTCTCTAGCAAACTAGTAATGGTCATCAAGGGTAATAATAAGTATTGTATATATTTTCTAACCTAAGTTCCATAATATTTGGCTTAGTTGGTAGTGTATTTTTCTTCCTTGAAACTTGGCTTCTGTATTCAGGACAAGTATTTCCAAATTAATTAGTGTCACGTTCATACTTGTCTTGTTAGTTCTAATCATTTGTTTAAACTGAGATTTCCCTATTTAAAAATCATTGCTTTCTGTTGATGGGAGGAAATGTGTTTGAATTTCACAAGTAAATACGTGCTGTATATTTGTCACACATGTTGAATGTTAATTAGCCAGAAACTGTAACCTCTGGGTGGGCAAGGTTGTGTCCCTCGCTCAACATTGTGGCTTGTGATCTCTCAGACAGTGAAAAATAAATATTTGTCTAAAGAATAAACTGGAGTCTAGTCTCTCAGAGTATTTTCCCATCAACAGTTTTCATTCCCTTAAGCCACAAATGATTTTCTCTAATAAAATAATTAATAAATGTGCTCATTATTTCCTATGTAGACCTTAGTGTTTCTTCAGAAAAGTGAAACCTGTATGTATTGGTTTAAAAATGGGTCACAGTGGGTTTTTCTCCCCTCTCTCCAACTTTTCAGTATGAAAATTTTCATATAGAAAAAGATGAAAAAGGGGGCGCCTGGGTGGCTCAGTCGTTAAGCGTCTGCCTTCGGCTCGGGTCATGGTCCCAGGGTCCTGGGATCGAGTCCCGCATCGGGCTCCCTGCTCGGCGGGAGGCCTGCTTCTCCCTCTCCCACTCCCCCTGCTTGTGTTCCCTCTCTCGCTGTGTCTCTCTCTGTCAAATAAAATCTTAAAAAAAAAAAACAACAAAAAAACGAAGATACTAAAGTCTGCTCATCCCACTGATACTTGGTTGTTGTATTTATTTTTCAAGTGGATTGATTTGTTCACTTAAAAAACATTTTTTAGCCCTGTGGCATGCCTTTTGAATTCACATTTGTCAGCTGCTGCTGCATTTAGACTGAACTCTTTGGTGTTTAGGTTCCTGAGGACCAAAACAGTTTCTTGGATGTTGTATCTTTATAGGTTGTTATCCATAATAATATTTGAGCACAACTTAGGAAGAGTTGCTGAAAATGTTCCTTTGTTCTTTGATTATCTCCTATAAATTAGCCTTTAATATCCAAAATGTTGAGTGACTTTAAAGGCAAAATGGGTTATATGAGAATAGGCATCTAGTGGTTGTTGGGGGGTTATTCATTAATTTTTAATATACTATGAGTAATTATAGCTGCTGTTTTTTGTATTGTGTGTCAGATACTGTGATTTATAACTGTTGTATATTTAACTCATGTAACCAGCCTCTGGTTGGTTACCAGAGGGGTAAGGGGCTGAGGATGCTGAGGCACAGAGGGGTTAAGTGGCTTGTCCTGGGTCATGTGGCTAGCACATGGAAGACTCAGGATATGAGTGTTTCAGCTCCACGTCCTAGCATTTGACCCCTGCCCTAGTGTTTTGCATTGTATGTGTGGTCCTCAAACCACCTGCATCATAATTTCCTGGGGCGATTGTTACAAATGCAGACTCTTGAGCCTCATCCTAGGCCTGCTGAGTTTGAATCTGTGGATGAAGTATGTTTTTTAGTCATTCAGTTGATTTTTTTTAAGCATTTATTTTATTTATTATTTTAGAGAGAGAGAGTACAGGAGGAGGGGCAGAGGGAGAGAGAGAATCTCAAGAAGACTCCGTGCCGAGCGCAGAGCCCATTGTGGGCCTCAGTCCCAGGACCCTGAGATCATGACCTGAGCCAAAATCAAGAGGTGGACGCTTAACTGACTGAGCCACTCAGGCGCCCCATTCAGTTGATTTTTATGTGCTCTGAAGTTTGAGGACCCCGGGGACAGCTGGGCAGTGAGGAGTTTGGTCGGTTGTCAAGGAGGATCAGATGTGGGTAGTGGGGGATTCTGGTTAAGCCCTCTTCTATAAGCATTATCATGTTTTAATCTCTATTAACCTAGAAGGATCGCCAGAATCAATTCATCATTCTTGTCCTTGGAATACATTACGTTTTGGATTCATCTTTATGCTTTCGTCTTTCCTTCAAGATTGTCATGGACTTTAAGCACCCAGATGGTGTCACGGTGCCAGTCATGTTGCCTCGTCGGAGTTTGCTGGTGATGACCGGAGAATCGAGATACCTCTGGACACATGGGTACGTATCGAAATGACCTTGGTGACAGAATATCTCTTGCTTGGGCGCCTGGGTGGCTCAGTCGGTTAAGCGACTGCCTTCGGCTCAGGTCATGATCCTGGAGTCCCGGGATCGAGTCCCGCATCGGGCTCCCTGCTCGGCAGGGAGTCTGCTTCTCCCTCTGACCCTCCTCCCTCTCATTCTCTCTGTCTCAAATAAATAAAATCTTTAAAAAAAAAAAAGAATATCTCTTGCTTTGTGAGAGCTCTCATTCTCTCCTGCTTGAGCCACCAGAATTGTGTCCCATGTCCGCACATTGAGGTGTCCAGGTTTCAACCCCCACGGACATCTGTGCCCTTTTGATGGTAAATAGTAGGCTTTTATTTTGATGAAATTCAAGTTTAATGGAGAGTTGCAAGCATGGTATAATGAACTCCCTTCACCCAGATTTACCAGTTGTGAACATTTGACCATGTATTTTATTGTTCTCATATGTTATCATTATTATTATCATTGATGAATCATTTGAGAGTCAGTTGCAGACATCGTGATCCTTCACTCTTACATCCTTCATTGCATATTTCCTGAGAGCAAGGATATTCGTTATATCAGGGGTTGGCAAACCATGGCTTATTAGCCAAATTCAGCCCTTAGCCTGTTTTGTGCAGCTCTTGAGCCAAGAATGGTTTTTACAGTTTTATTTGTATTTTAAAAAATGTGTTTATGATTATTCTGATTATGATTGTTGTTTTGGTTTTTACATTTTTAAAGAGTTGTAAAAAACAAAAACATCAGAGAATATGTGACAGAAACTGTATGTGGCCTTTTTTGCCTAAAACGTTTACTATTTGGCCCTGTTACAGAAAAAGTTTGCCAACCCCTGCGCTACAGAACTGTAGTGCAACTCAAATTCAGAAACATCAGCATTGATAAAATATTCTTACACAACCATCTTCAGATTTTGCTAGTTGTACCTCATAGCATAGTGCTGTTGAAGATTGCCAGCAGTGTGGGCGTGAACCCACACTTTACTCAGGGACTGTCGCAGTAGGAGAATAGGGATGTCAGTATAGAACTGGGCTGGATCCCAAGCACCACAGGAGAAGTCGGGGTGGACAGCCGAGGAGCTGGGCGTGGGGCAGTGCCGGTGGCTGGAAGAACCCCAGTGGAAGCATAGCGATGGGGTGGGGTGGGAGGGGTGGCTTCTGGCCAAGGACCGTAGGATTCCTGCTGCGTAGACATCAGCTGGGGAACAGCTGGGCAGTGAGGAGTTTGGTCGGTTGTCAAGGAGGATCAGATGTGGGTAGTGGGGGATTCTGGTTAAGCCGGCTCGGTGGGATTCTTGCTAAAGTGGGGCTCTTGTCGGACATGCCCCAGGATGGGGCGAGTTGGGCTCAGGGGAGTCAGACTAAAGTTTGGTCAAGCAGAGAATCTTTGTTAGTGGTTTGTAGTACACTTTTCTCTCTGACCCAGGACTCCCGTCTATGACACTGATTAGTTGTCAGCTCTTTTCAGTGGTCTTTACTTGGAAACAATTCCTCAACTTCTCTTTGTCTTTCTGGATGTTGGCCTTTTTAAGGGGGCCAGTTGTTTTATAGAATGGCCCTCAATTTGAGTTTGTTTGATGGAATCTCATCTCAAAGAGATGGGTTATGCACTTTCGGCAAGAGCATAGCTTTAGCCTTTAGAGGAGAAACATCGAACTACTAAAATTTACATACAGTCTACTGAAAATACTGCTGAGTTCTGTACTTACTAATAATGTCCTGCTTGGAGATTTTAACTGATGCATTTTAAGAAATAAAGGAAATGAACATGTAAATGATTCGGTAACGTGTCCTGAATGTGAGCCATAAAAACTGATGGCCTGATTTTGTGCAGTGAGGCTTAAAGTTACCTGATTTTTTTCGATGGCCTCTAAAATATTTTCACTTACAGTAAATGAAAATGGTGAGGCGATCCAGTGGTTTCAGGTATTTCTAGAATTGAGACTATTCACATTTTCTTTTTTTAAGTTTAAGCATTTTTACTATCGGTACATTTAAACTTAAGAGTACACTTAAACTTAAGAGGCAGACAGATGCTTCACTGAAGCTTAACCGGCCGAGCCACCCAGTTGCCCCCGATCACGTTATTTTCTTGTTCAAAGAATATTGTGTGGGGACGCCTGGGTGGCTCAGTCGTTAAGCGTCTGCCTTCAGCTCAGGTCATGATCCCAGAGTCCTGGGATCGAGCCCCGCATCAGGCTCCCTGCTCAGCAGGAAGCCTGCTTCTCCGTCTCCCACTCCCCCTGCTTGGTTCCCTCTCTCGCTGTGTGTCTCTCTCTCTGTCAAATAAATAAAATCTTTAAAAAAAAAAAAAAGTTGATAGACTCTGCCCTGTACGGTTAATTCCAAACTTTTTTTTCTTTCTAAAAGATTTTTATTTATTTATTTAACAGCGATAGAGAGCACGAGTAGGCAGAGTGGCAGGCAGAGGGAGAGGGAGAAGCGGGCTCTCCGCCGAGCAGGGAGCCGGACGCGGGGCTAATTCCAGACCCTTATTTCGGTCTGGTTCAGACTCACTGTCGTAGCCACTGTACCCTAAGTCGGAATTTGCAGCACCTGAGCTAAATCCAGCAGTCAGGCGGGGCAGTGGTGCTCCCTGTGACAGAAATTTTATAAATTGCCTACATGTAAAAAGCAGGCGCTTTCACCTAAAACGTCTGAGTCTTCAGTCTCTTTTGAAAATTGGGCAGTGTGACAGCACTGGGCCCGTGGAGGCCTGGCCCTGGCATTGGAGACACTGTGTGGCCTTCTGTAGGTGGGGCCTGCGTTCTCGAGCTCTGCGCAGTCCCCACCGTGGTCTGTGGCGCCCACGCTAGGGCTGAGCATCAGCTGCCGTGTGTCACTGCTTGCACTGAAGCCGCTTGGACGTGCGGTAAATCTTGTCTGCATTAAAAGTAGCAAATGGGAAGCTAGAATGAGTGGGCAAGCGTTTTAAGAAAAGTGGAAGAGAGGGCGCCTGGGTGGCTCAGTTGGTTGGGCGACTGCCTTCGGCTCGGGTCATGATCCTGGAGTCCCGGGATCGAGTCCCGCATCGGGCTCCCAGCTCGGCAGGGAGTCTGCTTCTCCCTCTGACCCTCCTCCCTCTCATGTTCTCTGTCTCTCATTCTCTCTCTCTCAAATAAATAAATAAAATCTTTAAAAAAAAAAAAAAAAAGAAAAGTGGAAGAGAGCACTGTTGTTTTGAAACGAAACCCTTCATGTGTGTTTAACAGCAAACTGTGTTTCTAGACAAACCCACGTGCTTCCCTCCTTGAGGTTATTCGACTGGCTTGGCAGGCGTTTATTTAGAAGTTTATTTGACTCTCCTTTTAAATTACTTTTGGAGCATTTTCTTTCTGCTGGGCCTTGTTCTCAAAGTTTCACACAATCAGCTCACTTAACTCCTACAAGTCACAGTGGAAAGTTTGTTGTGTGGTTTTGTCCCCATTTTTAAAGGAAATTGGAGCATAAAGAGGTTATGTAACTTGTACAAAGTCACAAAACCATGAAGTGGCAGAGCCAAGATGAGACGCCAGGCAGTCTGGCCTCAGGATCTGTGTCCTTAACCATGTCGTTCCTGCTGGACTAGGTTGCTCCCTCTCCTCCCAATTTATGCTGTGCCCTCTGGCCTTTGCTCTTGCGCTAGCCCTCAGTGCAATAAATTTCCTTTTCCTTTGTTTTTAACATAGAGCTCAGCTCTTACGTCCTTTATAATATATAAAACTTTTTCTGGGTACATTAGCCTGAAATAATTTCTCCCTTAAACTCCTAGAGATTATATTGTCTTCTGCTACCTTGAGATGTCTCTTCTACCGAACTATTATTTAAATCTAAAAAATGTTTTTATCTTTTTATTTGATATTTTTTCAACTAGATCATAAATTTGAGTAAGGAGGAAAAAAAGATGTTCAGTAATGTTTAAAGAATTCATTAATCTTAACCTATGGATTGCCTATTCCTAAAAATCTGAGATTGGTGCCAAAAGCTGTTAAGTACTGCTTGGCCTTTGTCTAAGATTTAATTCTAGGCAAGTAAAGTAATTGACTTAAAAGAACCGTGATAGAGAACTACTTGGTCCTCAGAAGGGAACTTTATTTGCTAATAAGAGTTTCAAGATACTCATTGTTCTGAAATATCTTGACTTTGTTTAATACCATAGTTTTACTCATTTTCTGCTATCAGGGTAACAATCATATAAATCCAGGCAGTGTTTGCTTGCTTTTTACTTCTAAAAAATTGCCTTTGGTGCAAGCTCTTTTAAAAGAGCCACTCTCGGGTGCCTGGGTGGCTCAGTTGGTTAAGCGACTGCCTTCAGCTCAGGTCATGATCCCAGGGTCCTGGGATCGAGTCCCGCGTCGGGCTCCCTGCTCAGTGGAGAACCTGCTTCTCCCTCTCCCACTCCCCCTGCTTGTGTTCCCTCTCTCGCTGTGTCTCTCTCTGT